CATCTGCATCCCACCTGGTCAGAGATGTTGTCCAGTCGGTAGAGGTCAGGATGAACCATTCGCATTAGCTGCTGCAGCGGCTGAGTCTTGAATTCGCACATGGCAAAGACCCGCTCGTCCAGCCTCGTGCTGGTGCCCATCCGCAGGGCTTTCTGAAAGCAAACACACATCACATCAGCAGTGTTTGATATGATTTCTCTCATTTATTACGTCAAGAATAAGAATAGAGTTCAAAGATCTATAAAAATTTAAAATGCAGAGTAAAGCTTTAGCCCCATTTGCAGAGTAAAACAAATCCTTTTGCTAAAAATGGAGAATTAAACTGCAACAAGTTCAGACAAAAACATTGTGGTAACCGTTTAACCTTTAATCACCAGGAATAATAGGCCATAATGTGCTTCTTTCAATTAAACAGTGATGTTTCTGAAGTTTATTCTCTGATTCATCACTGTTAGAGTCCCACAAACACCTACAGGGAGGATTTGTCTCAGAAACAGGGTGTGTATGTGCTTCTGAACATAGACACACCCTGGATGTATGAATGCACACATGCCGGGTGGATTAATAGTCATTAACCCAGGCAGTGTGACTGTGAGCTCACACTTTTCTACTGTGTAACATTTGGTCAGAGGGTGGTTTGTTTTTAGGGTTTGTACTCAACTACATCTTAAAATGCGTAATAACATTTTGCAGGTTTAGTCAGTAAAACAAAACTCTCTCCTTTTACCTCAAACTGAATTTAAAAAATTAAAAAAAAAAAAAACTTTCCAGAAGTCTGCTAACAGGGAAAAGTGGAGGGCTGCATGCTTAAACACACATTCACAGCCTTTTCTTCTCCTTCTTTTTAGTGTATGTCATGCTGTGTGACGCGTGTGTGTTCATGTGCCGATGACAGTCAGGCAGCCGCACCTGTTTAAGGAGAGCAAGGATGTAGAGGGGGAAGAGACGCATGGCTGCAGGGAGGACAAGTCCAGACTGCTGAAGGTTGGAGACGTTGCTCTTGTAGGCGCTCCCCAAGTCCACCACCGCATTCACCAGCGCGTCCCGGGCGTCCGACAGGCTGGATGATATCGATCGATCGATGGCTGGATTGAAAAGACCAAATGAAGACTAGTTTACCTCCAAGACAGCATTTTAATCATTTCTGAACACAAAGTTAAGTTAACAAAAGCCCAGAGTACGTCCTGATGAGACATGTTTACAAACTAGGGCTGTGTGATATGATAAAATATATCACATGACAAAATGAAAACATTGTTTGTTTCGTGGTGGTGCAAACTACGCTGTTTTTCATTGTGGCACAGAGAATATCAGCATTGCCAGTGAAGATGAGGCAGAACCAGGTAGCTCCAAACAGAAGGACCAGTCAAAACAAAGTGAGGACCTTATTCCTAAACAAGGTTCTACCTTTGTAGTATGGACATGGTTTGGTTAAGGAAAGTCTGACACGGACTAGAAAACTGTACTATGCAAATTATGACACAAACCAGTCCCCACCACAGACTCAAACACAACAAACCTCTTCTACCACCTACACAATAACCACGTGAAAGAGTGTGGAGAGAGCTTACAGATGAGAAGCAAAACAGAGCTGACAGGTGCACAAAATAAACCTTAGACTCAAACGTTAGAACAGGCTTTTCCCCGCAGCACGCCGTGTAATAAATACTCAAAGAAATTGGCGGCTGTTGCAACTTCTATCTAAAAATATATAGTTTTATGCATCGGTCAAAACACTCAACTCCAGGTACACGACGCCCAGCTGAAAACATTTCACACAAGTCAAGTTGCCCGAGTTCAAAAACGTAAAATTTTTGCGAGATATCTCGTTATCGGGATGAGAAATGTCTCATATTGGGATATGAGATTTTGGTCATATCGCACAGCCCTATTGCAAACATTTTCATATTTATGTGGATGTTGTGTGTCTGTGAGACAGGCAAACTTTGCACTCTTCAGCTCCAAAGCACAACCTCTAGGGAAACAGCGGTGGTCAACATGACCCATAAAGCCACTCTGCACAGACTGAAATAAACCTTTTAATCATTAATATAAAATGCAAATGTATACGAATGTGACTCTCGAAACAGGAAAGACCTGGCTTACAAAAAGCTCTCTGTGGGTTATATACCACCACACAGGTATTCGCTACATTTCCACCCAGGGTTGGTATTTAATTCCAACTGACTGCGTGTTTTATGAAACCCGATGGAAACTTATTTGATACATTTTGATGCATTTTTTTCTGCCAACTTTACTGGAAAAAAAAACACTGACAATATCACTTTATCACTAATATTTTTAACATGTTATTGGATTTGTGTCAACCACGGGGAGGCTAGAGGCCAACTTTCATAAATGTGTAAAAAGTCTTAGGTTAAAGGCACTGCACATGAAAAGGTGTGAAAGCCAAGGATTTAAGCTACACACTTACCCATGTTGGCTAACAGGCAAGTGATGGCTTGGACGTCAGCACCGGCATACACGTCACTCAGCTGACTGACCACCGGCAGACACAGAGTGTGGACCCTGATACGTCTCTTTCCTACAGATGAATTAATAACAGTCCCGTTTTCAAGATCTTTAAAGAATTTCAACCTAAATGCGTTACCATGAAAATGAGTCATTCTTGTGTATACCTTTACTCGACGTGTAGAGCAGAGCAGCCTGGAAGCAGGCCAGAGACGAGTCTGCCAGAGAGTCTTCGACTGACATCTGGACAGCGAAGGCAGAGTCTGGGTTCACATTGGCCAGGGACAGCAGGTCAGTGGAGCGCACAAAGAAGTTACCGTGAAACGTGTGGATGGATAAACCTGAAGAGGAAAAAGGCAGGGACAAAACTTTAAAACAACATTAACATTAAAACATTAAAACGTGCATGAAGCTGCATCTAATCCGATTACCTTTAGTGCATCTTATTCTCATGACCGCCTCAAAGCCGATCTTCCTGGTGAGGTAGCGCTCGAGGTCTCTCTGGAACTTTTCCAGCTGGGCCGGGTTGTGGATGTAATGAAAGGAGGGATAGTAAAAGACGCTGCCTGCTGAATACCTGGAGATACATGCTGAGAAATAAGAAAAACAGGAGAGGATCAGCATTAAGAGAATTACATGTGATTATCTTCAGTCTGTGAAGACTGGGAAGAAGAGTTCAAATACATCATTATGTTGATACAACAAGGTTGATAACTCTGGTAACACACTTTCTGGATGTTATCACTTGAGCCGAGGCCTGAGCTTCTGCAGGACATTTTCCTCGAGGCAAATTATTTCCAGTCTCCTGAATCACATGTTAGCTGCTACCACCACTACCACTACTACAGCAACAGCAAAACAACAAGCTCTGACAATGATAAGCTGAAGAACCTGAGTGCGGCAGCAGTACACACTCAGAATTTTTTGAACCAAACCACAAAATGCTCCTAGAGGGTTATTTTAAAGCGATCTGGTTTAAAGTCTACGTTTACAAATCTGCACAAAAAAGGAAATATATTATTAAAAAAAATAGAATAAAAAAAATATAGAATATATAGAATACTGGGAGCCGATTCGCTCATTAGCATTCATAACATAAGCAAAAATGTTAATACTTTGGATACATGGACAACATGAAAGATGCCAACAGCTGACTCAATCATGCTCTCACCTAATGAGGCGAGGTCGGCGTACTGGGAGCTGAGGAGGAAGAGATCCACTCCTATCTGTTGTCCTGAGCAATCCAGTGCAAGTTTCTTGTAGAAGTCAGTGGCAGGACCGAGGTGGTGGGCTCCCTGAAAGATATAAGAGTTATTACCAGCAATTCCTCATTTTGATCACAGGACTGAGGGAATCGGGACCTTCCTGACAGCAAAAATATATTTTTCCCCCGAGCAAACCAAGCACATCTGTTATTTGTCGTTTTCTTTTTGGAAACTCTTATCATGACTTGTTGGCAGTTTATTCAGAATAAAAAAAGAAGATGCTAAACTTGAATAAATCACAATCCTGGGATTACAATAACAGTGGTGTTTAATCTGAGATGAAATGTGAGACAACGTTGACATTGTGACTGGTAAGAAAAGTGAGCTGTTGCAGGAAAGTATAAATACAACTCAGCTGTGAAAATGCCAGGATACAAAGTACTAATCTGTGGCTGTACTTCATCTGTCATATGGTTCAATTTAAGCTTCACAAATCACAATGCAGCCATGATTTAAAACTCCCATTCGATGTGAAAAATGTAAAAATTAAAACAGGGCACCCGCAGGCACTCCAACTTCATGATCATGAAACAAAGTCAAAAAATACGCATGAAGAACAAACACCATGAACATACCGCACAGAGGTAGGAAATAAGGATGTTTTTATTTATGTCTTACTTATCAATAAATATCTAAATAAATAAAATAAATATATAATCAAGTAAGGATCTGGCAGTTCAGGGTGGTGATTATTAGCTGTTACAGATCAAGCACAGCAGCCCACTTTACACTAAAACAATCTGTTCATTAAACATTCGACGGCTTACTGTGTCCAAACTTTTCACTGTTAACATCCAAATAAAGACAGAAATAAGAAAAAGGATGCTGTTTAACTCCAAATAAGGAAGATATGATAAAATCCTGCATCTGCTCTTGCTCCCACTTTCTCTGGATAGTTGTTTTTTTCTCATTATAATCACAAATAAAAGAAAATATAATTACCTTGGAGCTCGAACGCTGATTGGGGTCTTCTCTCGACTGCAGCTTCCCGGCTCCCAGCGTCGGCAGCTGAGTCTGGAACACCGCGATGCGGCCTCCGGTGGGTGACATGAGCTTGAAAGCGGCCTGTAAGGCAGGACCGAGGGCGCTGTGGGTCTCTCTGCTCTGGCTGAACAGGGCCGGCAGTGACTTCAGCAAGTCCTTCACCAGCTGGAGGATGGAGAAACAATACATGAGAAAATGAAAAAGAAAACAGTTTCAGAAACATCAAGAAGCAGGCACGAACATGACAGATAGAAGAGATGCAAGGGAACAAAGCAGCACGCTCTACCTCGTTGCTCTCCTTTAGATTCACCATCAGGCTGTCATGAGATGGTATGAAGACATCTGCAAAGAAAGCAGGAAAGATTATTAATGTGGCTCTAGATGACACATTTCTATCAAATACACTGGAAAGGGTCATTAGTCACTCTAATAGGCCACCACCTCTGGTCTTAACTGTGTGGCAACAACTTTTGATTGTGGGTCACTGCCACAGCTCTCATGTGTCATTTTGAAGTAACTTATATTTACCATCGATGTCTGACACCACCAGCATCTGTGGCTGGGACAGCCCCTCCTGGAGATTGTAAAAGTGGATGGTGCTATCAAAGGTGAGGAAGCCCACTCTGGTACGCGAGTCCCCAGGCAACCTGCAGCAGGAAACATTGTGTCAGCCTGGTTTCTGCCTGTGACAGACGTTAATAATCAGCTTGATCAAATAGCTAACTGACAAACTCATGAAGCAGCAACATCAGGACTCACTTATCCAGGTTCTCAAGAAGTGATTCACAGAAGTACTTCAGGTATCCTGCTTCCACAGCATTGTGAGACACGTCGAGTACAAACAGGTAGACCGCCGGCTGAGGAGGTCGCAACTGAAAAGGAACAAAAACATCAAAGATCCCTGAAGGTTTAAAATAATAATAATAATAATAATAATAATAATAATAATAATCTGTTTTTATATGACCTTTGCAGGTGTCACTTCTTATGCATGAGCCTTCTTTTTTTCCCTCTGTTTACTAAACACAACACTGCCCTCTAGTGGACAGAGAAGCAAAGTACGTGTAATGTGAATAAGAGGCGTGTTTACCATGTAGTCTGAGGAGGCGATGAACTCCACGGTGGAATTCTGGACCTCTGGCCTCTTGTGTGGTTCACCGTATGACCTCGTGACTGGATTGTACATGAACTCATCTGGTACTGAACAAGAATTAAAATGGCATAAAACATTAACGCTGCATTCATACTGATACTGATTCAGCAGTAAAGAAATTGCAGGGACAATATATAAATAGCTTGACTGGACTTGTACCATCATTGACCCGGTAACACAGGTTACACTTCCACCTGCGCTGGTCCAGAAAGGTGACGAACGGATTGATGTAGGTGCGGCAGGAGCGACAGCGCACGATCGTGTTTGATGTGATCACCGGTAACTGCTGCAGAGAGGCAAACGGGGAAAAAAGGCTTAGAGAAAGATGGACTAACTTCCAATAAAGAAAAATACAAAAGACCTGTTTATGAACTTTTCATGTGTCATGCCTCAATTTTTTGGCCTCCACTTTCTTTCTCCATCCCATGACCCTTCCAAAACATTCTTCTATTTATATCTCAGCAGATGGCTGAACAGCACTTTGTTTCCTTTTCTGTGAGTGTGGTTAAAAAAAACAAAAAACAAACAAAACTGCAGTTCTTTTCTCCTCTTTTTTTGGTGCCAATCCATTCTTATGACTTCCGCTAAACCACCAGAGTCACCCAAAATTTCTCCACCTTTTCCTTAGAACAAAGTCTGTTTATCCTCGGGTACACCTGAAGGCCACAACGGAGGTTTTGGGACTACTTTCTTTCTCTGCAATTTACTAAAAACAGTTAAAAATTCTTATCAGACCAAATGCTAACATAACTCTAAAATAATTGACATCTATGTTGCTAAACAGTTGAGTTGAGCTGCAGTAATTAAATAAAACATGACACTGATAAACAAGATTTTGAAAACTTGTAATTTCACACTTGGGTTGGATCGCAACAGTAATGTGTTACTTTCACAGGCGAGGTAAACACAGATGTCGAGAAAAACGCCTCAGTAGTGAAACCAAAATGTCTTAATCACCTGTTTGCTGGTTCAGCTGTAAGGTTAAACAAAAACTAAGAATTTCCACCTCTCTGGGTATTCGAGTAAATGGGTGCAAATGCTGCTGATGTAGTGCAAAAAATTTAAATGTAGCTTCATTTTTCTTGTGCCATTTTCCATCATGATCAAATACATCCTCCCTTTCTTTCTTCTCATATCTGGATCCATGCAAAGAGACATCAGTCTAAGAAGAGATGCCCAAACCATCCCCGCTTCTCCCACTTCCTCTAGGTGGTGCTTTTCAAAACAGGCAATGAATGTTAATGTTAGAGCGCAGACAGCCTTTGGGGAAAGAACAATTTCTACTAGTTGTTTAGACTATTAAACTAGACGATACCACAGTATCCTTGGGAGATCAGAGAAGACGAGGGACATGAAGTTCCTCATGATGGGGCATACACCCATATTTGGGCTGCATAAGAAGGGAGGACCTCGATGTAATACAGAGTCTCCTCAGAGACCGCAAACAATGTCACAAGCTGAAGATTTAAATGCATCATAAAGCCTCACTAAACCGCCTCCAAGAAGAAAAATTCTTTAAAACTATCCGTTGACCGTCAGGATGCTCCTGACGTATCTGACACCAAACTGCAGGCTCAGTCCAGACTACACCAAACAGCTCACAGCTGTTTACTGAGACACTGTAGACCTGACTGACTCAGAGGAAACACCAAATTACATTCAAAATCAGGAAATACTGTGTAGGTGCAGCATATGATTCCAAAAATACATTTTCATAACATATTCTTAAACTATCAGAGTTGCCAAAATTAAAGCTGTAGGCAGAAACTGCAGAGAAGCATGAATGTCTGTTTCACACGTCCACAGGATCCACACCTCTGCAGTCATCTACTGTAAAAGCAACACAGCCTGGGCAATTCTGAGACATCCTTTTGAAATACACACTCACAAAAACGACGAGCCAACAACTGACGCTCTGTCAAACATTCAGTTATTTAACCGTTAGTCCAGGAAGTCAGTGCCAGCCTGTCTTTCAAGCACTTTCCTATTGTCTGTCACTTCACACCTACTGAGACGTCTTCACCTCACAGTTCTATAAATACCCTCCCTTATCTTTCCTGCACCTCTTCATCATTGTCATTTTGCTCCTCCTGCTGACTGGTCACGAGTGGAAAAAGACAGCTACAAAGGACCCAGATAGTATTTAAACACTAAGTTCCACCTTTCTTTAATGTAAAACTGTGTCGACTAATGTGAAATACCTCTGTCAGGGAAAAAACACCCTGCTCTGCACAACATATTTTGCATTTCACAGAATGAATCGATCACACCTGTTTGCTTTAACAAAAAAGTATCAGAATAAAATGACTCTTGATGAAGAAACTCAAACTATTGCCTGCTAAAAGGTACAGCAGCGTTTGTGCCCTAAACAAAGTTTTTGTATGTTCAATAATTAAATAAATAAATAGCAGAACAGCTTCATGCAGTGTTTGAGAAGGCAATGAAAAACAAAAAAGACCACACACTGCTTAAAAACAGAACTAAACATTTGCCGACATCTTAACTCCATAATACCAAAATCTGAGAAAAATGTTCTTTGAGGGGAATTTTGGTGTACCTGTAGATCTCTGAAGGGGTGGAGGAGGAGGCCCAGAGGGAGTCTGGCTTTGTTGAGTAAAGCCTGGGTCTGGGGAATGCTGGTCAGAGTACACCTGAATGTCCTGATTTTAAGAAAAAAAAGACAAACGAATGACAAAATATACTCACAAATAAAAATATACGAAATGAAGAAAGGTTTAAATAATGCAGTAAGAAAACAAAAACCATGAGCTTAGAAGTTGAAAACAACAACACGTAACTGTATACTACTGTTGTACTATTTTAAGAATTTATTTATTTTACTACTCTAAAGTTTCTGTGATACACTGAAAGTAAATGGCTAAATTTAAGGACTCAGCTGCCACTCAAAATTTCCCTACACCGGACTTACTGTGGACTGCAGTTGACTTTCTTAAGGTCGGGGCTGAGGTTGGGTTCTGGAGCTTCCAAAGGTCTGGGGGGCAGCAAGTTTCTCTCCTGCAGCAGGTTGATCGGCCTCAGGGCCTCGACCTCCAGCTCTGGCACACCGCTCAGCCCGCCGAGGGCTGCGGACAGCTCAGAGAGACTAGGGAAGGGCTGCAGAGAGGGACGGATGGTTTCGACACCACGAACAAACAAACAGCTCAGCTTACAACCAAAATTCATCGGGTGAGGCTATTTTATAAAATAATGTCTGTGTAGTGACACCTTGAACATTTATTTATTAAGTCTGACCAGTCAGTCAGTTGTGGATTATGATCAAGTCTAGAAGTCTGGCAAAGTCCAGGGTTAGAATCCTAAACAGGTCTCTGACTCTGTTATAAGCCAGCTCATAAAACTAGAGCCTATCACCAGAATTGGTCAAAGCATAGGTGGAATTTAAAAGCCTACATATGCTTACTTAAAATCTAGTGGGGGCCACAGACAGTCACTCTAAGTGATGGGTATCAAACGCAGGTTGGGTTTGCCTTTATCCAAACTTTTTACACACAAAAAATTAGACTAATATAAATTAATATAAAATCTGAGAAAATAGCCTGAAAAAAACTTTCAAACAATCCATAGATGTGCAAAATATTAATCAACATTTCTGTTGCAGGCTCACCTGTGAGTACTGCTGGTAGTTTGGCTGGCCATACAGGTCGTGGGAGGGGGAGGCGTCAGTGTGGGACGCTGGTCCCTGCCGATAACCCGACTGCATGCCATGGTAACCGTAACTACCGTAGGGCTGACCCTGGTTGGTCACATTGCTGGATGGGGGCATGGATTCTGGAAAGAGAGACAGTTCAGGAGTATAGTAGTGTGATGTTAAGAAGACAGAACATTTTTAAGGTGTTTTAACATGACCAGAAAAATAAGATCACTGTGTTAATGTTGATTTTAGAATAAGTTAGAATAAGTGCCAAATTATCCCTAAACAACAAAAAAAAGCCTTTTCAAGTAGCATTTGCTGTCTCCTTTGCTGTCTCCATTAGCTTTGGTCAAACTCCACAATATTGTTATCAGATTAGATGAATAAAGATCCATAAGAGATGAGACAGTAGTATAAACATCAGGAACACTGTACCAGTAACAAACTAACAACAATCACATTTAAAGCGTTGTGAATGACACTGCTGTCTTCTGCTTAGAAAAGCTGGGTCGCATCAAAGGGAATATGTGGATTGTCTTAAAGCCCGTTTTTCCCCTCTCTGCTGTGAAAAGTTGTCACTCGATAACAAAAGACCCAAGTCTTTTTGCCACATCAGCTGTCAGCAAATATAGCTGTGTTAACACTGCAGGAACCTTCCTCAGGGATAAGGAAAAGGATCTAAATTCAGTTCACGGAGAATTATTTTATCCTCTAAGAGTCCCTGCTTAGGAGGCAGCACTTTCTTTATATTCAAGAATATTTTCATCCGGTCATTCTCACATCAGTTTTCCAGCACTGACGTAAGACCCTAAAATTCAGCTTTAACAATTGATTAAGGTTTTATAACAGATTTAATTTTATACTCTGCAAATGTCAAGTTATAAAAATATTGTGCACTGTACATATTGTCAAAGAAAAGTTGATTTACAGTTTAGACATAGCTGTGATTTTACTGAGAGTTGCTCAGTTGCATAAGGTGCAGTCTGTCTGTGATGAACACGTACCTGGATAGCTGCCACCTTCGAGGGAATCGTAGCTGTTGGGCACTGGAGAGGCACTGCCAGTAGAAGAAGAGGATGTGTCACCACCTGCGAGAGGCAGAGAGGGGAAAAAAATGAAACTCAAAAGGGATTAAAAACTGTTATTATGAAGGAAAAGACAGCTTGCAAATATTACTCTGTTCAAATAAATAATGGCACAATAAAAAAAAAATCTAAAGACAAATGAAGAAGGGAAACGGGGAGGAAGGACAGAGTGTTGGGATAAAAATGAAAGACAACATTAAAGTGAATAAAAAGCAGATTTTCTGGTTTGGTCGTGCATGGACTCCCTTTGGCCTCACAGAAAGAAAACGAAAGAGAAGAGGCAGACTGAAAGATGGAAAGAAAACATAAAAAGGAAGCACTTAAGTTTTGAGTATATGCAAGTTGCTGTGTGGGGGACAGGACGTCTGAGGACAGGACATGTGTAGAGAACTGGGGGGGGAAAGAAGATATGAGTGTGTGCGATGGGTACAGAACGAAAGACATTTTCACCATGTTCAATAAAACCAAACTGTAGTTAGCTACAGGCCATTAGTGAGGACAAACCACTGGAAGCTGCAGGGTGGTGCCCTTATCAGAGAAAGTCTGGTTTACCAGATGTGGATTAGTCAAGCCTTATCTTTTTTGTAATCTAAAAACCAAAATTAAATAAATTCTTTTTTGGAGAACTTTTATATTAACATCTACCATCTGAGTTCAGCTTTCTGACAAAAAGGCTCCCAGTGTCCTCACAAACAGGCGGGTTAGAAAACACATGCTGCAGAGTCCTTTCTGTTCAGCCAGAAAAACTAAAGAAATGCATTAAATTAATAGCCGAGTCATTTATATTCCACACCTGGAACAAGTTTATCACCATCATCAAAACTCTGAACTTACTTTTTTCCCCCCTAGTAACCAAGTTTTTATTCATTTTTACAATTTCTATCTCTTTTCTAAACTTTTCATTTTTATTACTGCCTATTTTATTTATTTTGTAGTACAGTACTCATTCAGTTTTATGCCCTTTTTAAAATTTGACCTTTTGACTGACTGCTTTTTGTCATAAACTAATTTGTGTTGTCTTAAAGCACTTTGTGACTATGTTAAAGTATCTGGAAAAAAAAATCACTACTACTACTACTACTACTACTACTACTATCATCATTTTCAGTTTAACTGTTTCAGTGATCAAACACTAGGCATGCCCAAATCACCCCACCTATGAAGTGTCCAGGACACATTTTTCCTCAGAGGTCCAAGCCACCTCAGCTGGCTCGTGTCACGGGCTCAACTCTGAGCTCCACCCGAATGACCGAGCTTCTCACCCAATCTAGGGCAACTCATTTCTTGTGTTTATGATGTCATTCTATCCTCTATCATTCTCATGGACATAGAGGACAGCAAGACCCGCAGCTAACTCAAAAGCGTCACGTTACGTTATTAAAAAAGCATGAAGGCTTTTAAAATTATTTTTCAAATCCCTCAGCAAGCTGCCATAACCTTTCAAGAATTAATGCTGCAGTCAAAATAGCATGTGGATTCATTTAGTGCACTGCAACACTCCCGGTTCAAATCCAACATTGGTTGCATGTTATCCAACTCCATCATATCGCTTTTCTAATTTGCTTCAGTGCCTATGAGGTAAAATATCCACAAAATAATCTTAATAAAAAAACAACAGCAAGCAAAAGGGTCTTTTCGTTTTTGTCCATTTATTCCTTGCATGTCATGTAATGAATAGGTTTTCCCAAAGGATTACATGGGCAGTAATATTTGAATGGATCCACTAATCCATGTGTGCCAAAAGGAGGGATCAACAGCAGCAAACCAAGATGTGACAGGCCTCAGGGACAGAGCTCATTGGACAGGGCAAGATCCAATTATCTCAGACTAAATCGGACCAGCAGACTACTGGATTAAGCACTAGGGATGACGAGGACACCAGGAGAGCCAAGCCTTCTTTCTCCTCCTCCTTCAAGAAAATGGATACTACCAAGACTATATAGAGCTCATTGTAGCCAGTGTTGATTTGCAGTTGATCTTAAAAGTTTTAATACGAGTCCAGTTTGGACTCCACATACATTTATATTCTATTACTGCACCAGTACATGTGTAACTTAATGGTTACCGAGCCGACTAAGGCCTATTTCAAACCAGGACAAACCCTGCATGTATTTGAATACTTGATTCACACTCAGCAGTAAGACCATGACAACAAGTGCATCTTATGTCATTCGCTCGAGAGAATTTTGGCACGAGTGCTGAGGTGACTCAGCAGCTCGGACAGAGATGACACAGCAGCACAAACCAAAGAAACCAAAACGCCGTCCCTGACTCCAGAGACTTAATTAGTGATTAAACAAACAGCCAACTGAGTAACACCTTAAACTCTAGTCGTGGATAACTTTTGTTATGTGAGCAGTTACAAAATAAAGATAAATTGATCAAACATTTTGGCATATAATCAAGAAGAAAAACTCGTCATGTATCTGTATACAGATAACAAAAATGAATGGCCATACACAACTCTGAAATAAAACAGCTGTAACTAAATAAATATTAGGCAATCCATTTGTAAAGTAAGCAAGATTAAAATTCAGAACTACTACTGCTATTACAAGTATTAGTGCTGCTGTTGGCTGTGGTTGCCATTAGCTGCGAGGCTGGTTGTTGCTGCTGGTGTTATAGTCGGTTATTTTGGTTGGCGACTGCTGTTGTTGATAGTAGGTGATGGCAGTATTATCAAAATGTGACAGGTGATGAAGTGATTCATCCTGATAACATACGTCTGCTGTTAGACTTGTGTTATAAATTAGTTTAATCAAGTTTTGCTTATAATGTTCATTTTTAAATGTATTTAAACTATTTTTCAACTAATAACTTGCAAGCTTTGTCCTACAAAAGTCTAAAATGCACTGGTTGTTTTCTGCTTTACTTGTGACTCTGAACACATTTTGTTCGGGAAAATATTTTCAATATCATGATTCTGGTAAGCGTGGCTTCCTTGAATCAACAAGTGCTATTTTGCTGCAACAGACAACCTGTAAGACAGCAACACTGTGGGGAATTGATGAGAGCACGAGGGACAAACAGAAAGCTAAACCAAGCTCCTCATTTTATTAGGCAGTGCGCTAATGAGTTGTAGCAGTGCTAACAATGCTCTCTTGTGAGAAGCAGGAGAGTCAGCAAACACATGCATAGACAGCAGGACCTATCAGCAGGGGAGCTGTTATATTTAAACATCTGTTAACCTCTGGCTGATAACACACGTCTCAGAGGATCTTTAAAGCAGAACATCTGAGAGAGACATCACACAGGTGCATGACAACAACCAGTATCATGCTGACCTGACATTTAGATTATTAAATGTAAAATAAGTTATTTCAAAAAAAAAAAAAAGTTACACCAAGCATTTTAGCCTTTTTAATACAATGCAAGGTTTTTTAGTACAGTGAGATTCAAGATTCAAGCGTGAGGGTCAATCAGTAGCCCCATGGACCAATAAACTAATCAAAAAAATCAAACAGTGTACAAACAGCTAACTTCTCTGTAATAAACCAATGTTTTTTCTCCATGTAAAAACTTCCCCCTGCAAAACAAAACAAAATTACCAGGCATGTAATAAAAAAAATTAATACAATTTAAATAAACCTATACTGACGTTTAACCTACTCATGCATGAAACATTTCTGTTCATCAGCAATACTAAAAAGTTACTTCATAACAGACAGCTTGCATGAACAAACTACACTGGAGTCATTTTTTTAGTTATTTGTTTCTAAATGATTTAAAAGTCCCAAAACTCACCTGAATTAAATACAAGGAAAAATGAAATACAAAAACAAATCTAAAACATGCAGTACATAAACCAATACCCCCTACATCTTAATGCTTTCCCTTTACTAGAGAATTAAAGAAAACTCCAGTGAATTTAAAATAGATTTAAATTCACTTAGATTATTTAAAACCTTCATACCTTTTTCCAATTTTTAAACCCAAAGATATTAGATTATATTAATATTTCCTCTCAATACATGTTTATGTCGTAAGTGCTCATCTTACATCTAGGACTCACGACCACACCTAATTCAAACTCATTCCCGAGGCTATCCAGTTTACTATCAAGAGCCGTGAACAGAGTGGAAAGAAAAACACAAAATATTGATTTTTTTTTCCATCAGCATGTATAACTGCTGATATGTGGAGGGTCCACTACAGCTGGACAATCACACCCTGAACATTACTGAGAGACAGCAAGAGGGCTGCTGAGAGCTAGACAGCAGGCAAAGAGGACGTCGTCCTGTATATGACAACGAGCACTACTTACCTGCCACCTTTCTGAGGGAAAAAATATTCCATGTTAGCTTTCATTGATGGAACAACAGAACAGTGTGCACACAGACTGAGGAGATGAAATCAATATTTTGAAAGAGGACTGATGAATGCGAGAGGCAAAATGTTGCGCACAGCGGGTGAACTCTGCAAGGCTGGTGACGAGGACCAACAGGGAGAAATATGATTAGCCTATTAGAAAGGAGATGGTGCTGATGATGAGTAGTGAACTAATTACAAGCGTTGGCAGGTAGAGTAGACGTGACAGATGGTAGCCAGACAGGGAAGAGGAAAATGGCGGTTATCAGAAGTGACACCGGATAGGCGGGACAGTGGAGGTGTCTAAAGAGACGTGTACACTTTAGGTTTAAGATTACTAAAAAATAAGGAGTGGATAAGGTAGTAGCAAAAAGGTTATGGGGGAGGTAAAAGCTAGAGCAGACCTGCTTCCTCATCCTCCTCCTCCTCCTCATCGTCATCATCAGAACTGGATGATGAGGGGGCTGCTGCTGCTGGGCCTGAGGTGTTGGCAGAGGAAGAGCTAGCGCCACTATTAGCAACATATCCATACTGCATGCCTGTTGGAAGGGGGTGGAGTGGGAAAGGTACATAAGAGAACTGTCAGGATGGGATGCATGTCATCAGACAGGGCTGTGATAATCAGGCGGCTGGCTTCCAGTCATGTGATACGTGTTTAAGCAAAGAACAGAGTTGCTGATGGCTGGCCGCATATTTTGTCAGGAAAAACAATTAATACTACACACAGGAAAATAGGTCAGGATGATAAAACTTTAAAGCCAATGATTACAAAGGTGAAAGTCAAAGAAGGAAATTTGTTTAGATGGAATTTAACATCTACATTTAGCCTTTCTCCACCGGAGGAACCAGCATCCAATATTATGGCCTCATCGAACTGTTTTCAGGGCAGTTTTTTAGGGTTTTGGTTAGATAATGTAAACCGTTTTGATGCATTAGGGACAGACATAAGTGAAACTACTACGCAGTTGGACATATTTGACTGACCATCCAGGAATAGAGCAGGAAACTGTCTGGTGAATTCACAGTTCCCAATAGTGAGAAATGCATCTGTTGCTGCATGCAGCAGCAGGAGAGAAAGGTCAACCTTGGACAATGTCCAGATTACAGAAGTCTGAATAGTCTAAAAGGCAGAAAATACTCAAAACTGAGTGCAGTTTTGAGTATTTTCTGAAACGAAACATTAAGCCATCAAAACACTGTGTGTGTGTGTGTGTGTGTGTTTAAAAGCAATATGAAACTGTTAAATTCATTCACCGATGATCAAACTTAAAGTCGTTAAAATGTGTGACTGCTTGTGAGGTGTATAATACTGCACAAATGCAATGTTTGATTAGTTAGCAGAAACACTCATTTTTCCATTAAGCACCATCTGTTTTAGACCAAGTGTTTACCTTTCACCTCGTTCATTTACTCGTATTAATCTTTTGAACCATCAGGTTACCGTCTGATGCTGTACTTTAATAAAATAGGAATAATTTGTTTAACAGAATAATATTTCTAATATGATCGAGGAAAGGTCTTTTAAACATCTAGTCGACTGGTCACCCCCATCCTTCATCTTCAATTGTTTCACCTGACACTGTCCTTGGTTCATGTGTGACAACAGCTCAAGTCTCTCTGTGGATCTTGAGTTCACCTACACTGCACTGGAAGCAGAGAGAAAGGGCTGATGATTAGGGGAAACCTCCAGTAAAGGTTCACACCACATTGTGCTTGCCCAAAGTTCCTTCAGTGGAAGAATGTCTACTTTGAAATTAACGAGTCCCTAGAAATTTAAAACAAAAAAAAAAACAAAAAAACGCAACTAGGCGTCACAGTTCAGGGCAGAAAGTAAACTTGCAGGGGAAAAGCACATTCAAGCTAATTAAAAACAACTGAACCTTCGTCAAAAGTTAGCTTGATGCTTGCTGTATTGCTAAAGCCTTTCCGCTACAATGTTCTCATAGAATCCATCAACAACTGGAGAGCATTTCCTTTGCCTTAATGTATTCCATGGTCTAACTGTGTGCTTTCATTTTAAAATCTCAAGCAGGTGAGATGATGCCGTAATTTTGCCAGAGGTTGTAACTGACCACAAAAGCGTGCAATCAAAAATATGTACTTGTTTTAATACCAGTTAACTGGTTGAAAACCAAAAATAAAACATGTCTCCATTGACTTTCTCACACGAGAAAGCAACTCTTTGAAACGCTGTGTATTTGGTCTAAATGCATTGTAAATCTTTAAACATGGCTCAGTTTAAAAAGTGTTTGGATCACAGCTAGATATGTACAATTTTTGCAACTTCATATCCACTAAAGAAGTTTTCTCAGCCATTTTTTGTGCCAGCTTACAAAAACAGTATAAATAAAATCACAAAAAACCCTCATAAGCATGATGACTGGCCACTATTGCCAAATCATGTAAATAATTACCTTTAATTACCTAAATTAGTTTAAAACCAATTAATCAATAGTACACCTGTATCTTAAAGGTGTGCCCTGTCTTTTTATTGTCCTGCTAATATTTTACTGCCGAAAAAAAAAAAATTATATCAATTTATTCTGTCGAAGTAAGAGTCAAATTTTTGCAACCCAAATCAACATTACAGGAAAGAGTCTAATTATCCTGACCAGCCACTAAAGTTAAGAGTGAAAAACATTCACAGGAAAAATAAACCACCAGCACGTTGCTAAAAGCAAACCTGAAACCCCCAAATTTGTATACAGACCCACACCTGCACATTGGAAAGCGTGTGTGTGTGTTTGCAGCTAATTATGTGTGCTATATTGCCAAAGTGCAGCTGTAACCCATTCACGTGCAGTGTGCGTCTAAACAAGCTGCACCAGAAGACACAAAAACAGTCACTATAGTACAGAAAAAACCAAGATAAGAATGTTGTTCAAACATCGAATGCAGCAGGTGGAGAAAATAGGTCTCCAATCATAAAAAAACCCAAAACATTTTAAAGAACACAGTTTTAATGTAAGGTACACAGTGTGGTGCTTCTTCTCCGAGCAGCGAAAAAATAAACAGGAAACTGATTTCATGCAGAGTTTCAAACTACAAAATGCTTTTATCTTATTTTTTGGCAGGTTATCTGTACAGGCACAGATTTTCAGTTTTCAGCTTCCACACATACCGTATTTTTCGGAACATAAGGCGCACTGTCGATGAGCTGGTCTGTTTTCATACATAAGGCGCACCGGATTATAAGGCACACTGTCGATTTTTGAGAAAATTAAAGGATTTTAAGTGTGCCTTATAGTGCGAAAAATATGGTACACAAACATAATGAAGATTTACTCTCATTCTTACCTTGATGGTGGCCCGGTGAGGAATGGACTGAAGCGGAAGGGGTTCCTGAGGGTGGTCTGTCTGCCTCAGCACCACCACTGCTTTGAGTGACCCCACCATAGGAGTTGTAGCTCAGAGAAGCCTGATTGGTTTGGCTGTAGTGGGAATGGACTGCGTTTTGGGCTGCAAAAAAAAAAAACAAACAGCCACTGAAACAGCACAAGGACAGTGCTTTCTAAGGATACTGAGGGATAGCTTTGGGTTCAGAAATGCAAACACTTGTTAATTTATTTCCTTCTTTAAACATAAAAATGCATACACTGCACAAACAGTCAAAAGATGCTTTATTTTGGAAACTTACAGCAACAAAAAAACTAAGCAGAAAAAAATTTGCAGAAAAAAAATAATTTGCCCACCAAACACTAACAAAAAAAACCAAAGCATTTTCAGCCAACATCCACCAGATTTTCTTAGCCTATAAAACTCCACCTGCATTTTCAGAGAATTCACAATTGCAGAGTCTAGCAGCATTAAAGTGTGACCTCACTGAGTACCTGTGCTTCCTTGACCATTCACTGTTGGTGCCACTTGGCTGGGAGGAGCCATGCCATACCCAGAATGCCCTGATGCTGAGGAGGCTGGAGGCTCAGCACCGTACTGATGTAAAGGTGCGCCCATCTGGGTGGTGCTCTGGGAGGAACTCAGAGTGCCATACTGGCTGCTTCCTGGAGCAGACGGGTATGAAACAATGGGGTAGAGAGGACCTCCAGGCCCACTCGCCGCCATTGGGACCAAACTGGGTTGTTG